ATCCTACTGGAATTTCTCTTGCACCAATGTAATCCTCAGGCCGTGACTATCCTCTGGACAAACAATGGTCCCCATAGGACGCCGTTTCAGCCAGTTTCGATCAGATCACCTATGTTCCGCTAATCCTACTGGAATTGCTCTTGCACCAATGTAATCCTCAGGCCGTGACTATCCTCTGGACAAACAATGGTCCCCCCCCATAGGACGCCGTTTAAGCCAGTTTCGATCAATTCACCTATGTTCCGCTAATCCTACTGGAATTTCTCTTGCACCAATGTAATCATCAGGCCGTGGCTATCTTCTGGACAAACAATGGTCCCAATAGGACGCCGTTTAAGCCCAGTTTCGATCAACTCATCTATGTTCCGCTAATCCTACTGGAATTTCTCTTGCACCAATGTAATCCTCAGGCCGTGACTATCTTCTGGACAAAGAATCAGCGTGTACGTGGGAATCCGTTTCAGACCAGCTTCGATCAATTCACCTATGTTCCGCTAATCCTCCTGGAATTTCTCTTGCACCAATGTAATCCTCAGGCCGTGACTATCCTCTGGACAAAGAATCAGCGTGCACGTTGGAATCCGTTTCAGCCCAGTTTCGATCAATTCACCTATGTTCCGCTAATCCTCCTGGAATTTCTCTTGCACCAATGTAATCCTCAGGCGGTGACTATCCTCTGGACAAACAATGGTCCCCATAGGACGCCGTTTAAGCCAGTTTCGATCAATTCACCTATGTTCCGCTAATCCTACTGGAATTTCTCTTGCACCAATGTAATCATCAGGCCGTGACTATCTTCTGGACAAACAATGGTCCCAATAGGACGCCGTTTCAGCCCAGTGTCGATCAACTCACCTATGTTCCGCTTATCCTACTGGAATTTCTCTTGCACCAATGTAATCCTCAGGCCGTGACTATCTTCTGGACAAAGAATCAGCGTGTACGTGGGAATCCGTTTCAGACCAGCTTCGATCAATTCACCTATGTTCCGCTAATCCTACTGGAATTTCTCTTGCACCAATGTAATCCTCAGGCCGTGACTATCCTCTGGACAAAGAATCAGCGTGCACGTTGGAATCCGTTTGAGCCCAGTTTCGATCAATTCACCTATGTTCCGCTAATCCTCCTGGAATTTCTCTTGCACCAATCTAATCCTCAGGCCGTGACTATCCTCTGGACAAACAATGGTCCCCATAGGACGCCGTTTCAGCCAGTTTCGATCAATTCACCTATGTTCCGCTAATCCTACTGGAATTTCTCTTGCACCAATGTAATCCTCAGGCCGTGACTATCCTCTGGACAAACAATGGTCCCCATAGGACGCCGTTTCAGCCAGTTTCGATCAATTCACCTATGTTCCGCTAATCCTACTGGAATTTCTCTTGCACCAATGTTATCCTCAGGCCGTGACTATCCTCTGGACAAACAATGGTCCCCCCCTCCCATAGGACGCCCTTTAATACCTGTTTCGATCAATTCACCTATGTTCCGCTAATCCTACTGGAACTTATCTTGCACCAATGTAATCCTCAGGCCGTGACTATCCTCTGGACAAAGAATCAGCGTGCACGTAGGAATCCGTTTCAGCCCAGTTTCTATCAATTCACCTATGTTCCGCTAATCCTCCTGGAATTTCTCTGGCACCAATGTAATCCTCAGGCCGTGACTATCCTCTGGACAAACAATGGTCCCCCCCCCATAGGACGCCGTTTAAGCCCAGTTTCGATCAATTCACCTATGTTCCGCTAATCCTACTGGAATTTATCTTGCACCAATGTAATCCTCAGGCCGTGACTATCTTCTGGACAAAGAATCAGCGTGTACGTAGGAATCCGTTTCAGACCAGCTTCGATCAATTCACCTATGTTCCGCTAATCCTACTGGAATTTCTCCCGCACCAATGTTATCCTCAGGCCGTGACTATCCTCTGGACAAACAATGGTCCCCCCCATAGGACGCCGTTTCAGCCAGTTTCGATCAATTCACCTATGTTCCGCTAATCCTACTGGAATTTCTCTTGCACCAATGTAATCCTCAGGCCGTGACTATCCTCTGGACAAACAATGGTCCCCCCCATAGGACGCCGTTCAAGCCCAGTTTCGATCAATTCACCTATGTTCCGCTAATCCTACTGGAATTTCTCTTGCACCAATGTAATCCTCAGGCCGTGACTATCCTCTGGACAAACAATGGTCCACATAGGACGCCGTTTAAGACCTGTTTCGATCAATTCACCTATGTTCCGCTAATCCTCCTGGAATTGCTCTTGCACCAATGTAATCCTCAGGCCGTGACTATCTTCTGGACAAAGAATCAGCGTGCACGTAGGAATCCGTTTCAGCCCAGTTTCGATCAATTCACCTATGTTCCGCTAATCCTTCTGGAATTTCTCTGGCACCAATGTAATCCTCAGGCCGTGACTATCCTCTGGACAAACAATGGTCCCCCCTCCCATAGGACGCTGTTAAAGCCCAGTTTCGATCAATTCACCTATGTTCCGCTAATCCTACTGGAATTTCTCTTGCACCAATGTAATCCTCAGGCCGTGACTATCCTCTGGACAAACAATGGTCCCCATAGGACGCCGTTTCAGCCCAGTTTCGATCAATTCACCTAGGTTCCGCTAATCCTACTGGATTTTATCTTGCACCAATGTAATCCTCAGGCGGTGACTCTCCTCTGGACAAACAATGGTCCCCATAGGACGCCGTTTCAGCCAGTTTCGAGCAATTCACCTATGTTCCGCTAATCCTACTGGAATTGCTCTTGCACCAATCTAATCCTCAGGCCGTGACTATCCTCTGGACAAAGAATCAGCGTGCACGTATGAATCCGTTTCAGCCCAGCTTCGATTAATTCACCTATGTTCCGCTAATCATACTGGAAATTCTCTTGCACCAATGTTATCCTCAGGCCGTGACTATCCTCTGGACAAAGAATCAGCGTGCACGTTGGAATCCGTTTCAGCCCAGTTTCGATCAATTCACCTATGTTCCGCTAATCGTCGTGGAATTTCTCTTGCACCAATGTAATCATCAGGCCGTGACTATCCTCTGGACAAACAATGGTCCCCATAGGACGCCGTTTCAGCCCAGTTTCGATCAATTCACCTATGTTCCGCTAATCCTACTGGAATTTCTCTTGCACCAATGTAATCCTCAGGCCGTGACTATCCTCTGGACAAACAATGGTCCCCATAGGACGCCGTTTCAGCCCTGTTTCGATCAATTCACCTATGCTCCGCTAATCCTACTGGAATTCATCTTGCACCAATGTAATCCTCAGGCCGTGACTATCCTCTGGACAATCAATGGTCCTCACCTATAGTACGCCGTTTAAGCCCAAATTCGATCAATTCACCTATGTTCCGCTAATCCTACTGGAATTTCTCTTGCACCAATGTAATCCTCAGGCCGTGACTATCCTCTGGACAAACAATGGTCCCCATAGGACGCGGTTTCAGCCCAGTTTCGATCAATTCACCTATGTTCCGCTAATCCTACTGGAATTTCTCTTGCACCAATGTAATCATCAGGCCGTGACTATCCTCTGGACAAACAATGGTCCCCATAGGACGCCGTTTAAGCCCAGTTTCGATCAATTCACCTATGTTCCGCTAATCCTACTGGAATTTCTCTTGCACCAATGTAATCCTCAGGTCGTGACTATCCTCTGGACAAACAATGGTCCCCATAGGACGCCGTTTCAGCCAGTTTCGATCAATTCACCTATGTTCCGCTAATCCTACTGGAATTGCTCTTGCACCAATGTAATCCTCAGGCCGTGACTATCTTCTGGACAAAGAATCAGCGTGCACGTAGGAATCCGTTTCAGCCCAGCTCCGATTAATTCACCTATGTTCCGCTAATCCTACTGGAATTTCTCTTGCACCAATGTTATCCTCAGGCCGTGACTATCCTCTGGACAAAGAATCAGCGTGCACGTTAGGATCCGTTTCAGCCCAGTTTCGATCAATTCACCTATGTTCCGCTAATCCTACTATAATTTCTCTTGCACCAATGTAATCCTCAGGCCGTGACTATCCTCTGGACAAACAATGGTCCCCATAGGACGCCGTTTAAGCCCAGTTTCGATCAATTCACCAATGTTCCGCTAATCATACTGGAATTTCTCTTGCACCAATGTATTCCTCAGGCCGTGACTATCCTCTGGACAATCAACGGTCTTCACCTATAGGACGCCGTTTAAGCCCAAATTCGATCAATTCACCTATGTTCCGCTAATCCTACTGGAATTTCTCTTGCACCAATGTAATCCTCAAGCCGTGACTATCTTCTGGACAAAGAATCAGCGTGCACGTAGGAATCCGTTTCAGCCCAGCTTCGATTAATTCACCTATGTTCCGCTAATCCTACTGGAATTTATCTTGCACCAATGTAATCCTCAGGCCGTGACTATCCTCTGGACAAATAATCAGCGTGCACGTTGGAATCCGTTTCAGACCAGTTTCGATCAATTCACCTATGTTCCGCTAATCGTCCTGGAATTTCTCTTGCACCAATGTAATCCTCAGGCCGTGACTATCCTCTGGACAAACAATGGTCCCTCCACATAGGACGCCGTTTAAGCCCAGTTTCGATCAATTCACCTATGTTCCGCTAATCCTACTGGAATTTATCTTGCACCAATGTAATCCTCAGGCCGTGACTATCCTCTGGACAATCAATGGTCCTCACCTATAGGACGCCGTTTAAGCCCAAATTCGATCAATTCACCTATGTTCCGCTAATCCTCCTGGAATTTCTCTTGCACCAATGTAATCCTCAGGCCGTGACTATCCTCTGGGCAATCAATGGTCCACATAAGACGCCGTTTAAGACATGTTTCGATCAATTCACCTATGTTCCGCTAATCCTCCTGGAATTTCTCTTGCACCAATGTAATCATCAGGCCGTGACTATCCTCTGGACAAACAATGGTCCCCCCCCCATAGGACGCCGTTTAAGCCCACTTTCGATCACTTCACCTATGTTCCGCTAATGATACTGGAATTTCTCTTGCATCAATGTAATCCTCAGGCCGTGACTATCCTCTGGACAAAGAATCAGCGTGCACGTAGGAATCCGTTTCAGCCCAGCTCCGATCAATTCACCTATGTTCCGCTGATCCTACTGGAAATCCTCTTGCACCAATGTAATCCTCAGGCCGTGACTATCCTCTGCACAAAGAATCAGCGTGCACGTTGGAATCCGTTTCAGACCAGTTTCGATCAATTCACCTATGTTCCGCTAATCCTTCTGGAATTTCTCTTGCACCAATGTAATCCTCAGGCCGTGACTATCCTCTGGACAAACAATGGTCCCCATAGGACGCCGTTTCAGCCCAGTTTCGATCAACTCACCTATGTTCCGCTAATCCTACTGGAATTGCTCTTGCACCAATGTAATCCTCAGGCCGTGACTATCTTCTGGACAAAGAATCAGCGTGTACGTAGGAATGCGTTTGAGCCCAGTTTCGATCAATTCACCTATGTTCCGCTAATCCTACTGGAATTTCTCTTGCACCAATGTAATCCTCAGGCCGTGACTATCCTCTGGACAAAGAATCAGCGTGCACGTTGGAATCCGTTTCAGCCCAGTTTCGATCAATTCACCTATGTTCCGCTAATCCTACTGGAATTTCTCTTGCACCAATGTAATCCTCAGGCCGTGACTATCCTCTGGACAAACAATGGTCCCCCCCCCCATAGGACGCCGTTTAAGCCCAGTTTCGATCAATTCACCTATGTTCCGCTAATCCTACTGGAATTTCTCTTGCACCAACGTAATCCTCAGGCCGTGACTATCCTCTGGACAAACAATGGTCCCCCCCATAGGAATCCGTTTCAGCCCAGTTTCGATCAATTCACCTATGTTCCGCTAATCCTACTGGAATTTCTCTTGCACCAATGTAATCCTCAGGCCGTGACTATCCTCTGGACAAACAATGGTCCACATAGGACGCCGTTTAAGACCTGTTTCGATCAATTCACCTATGTTCCGCTAATCATACTGGAATTTCTCTTGCACCAATGTTAACCTCGGGCCGTGACTATCCTCTGGACAAAGAATCAGCGTGCACGTAAGAATCCGTTTCAGCCCAGTTTCGATCAATTCACCTATGTTCCGCTAATCCTACTGGAATTTCTCTTGCACCAATGTAATCCTCAGGCCGTGACTATCCTCTGGACAAACAATGGTCCCCCCCCCCATAGAACGCCGTTTGAGCCCAGTTTCGATCAATTCACCTATGTTCCGCTAATCCTACTGGAAATCCTCTTGCACCAATGTGATCGACAGGCCGTGACTATCCTCTGGACAAAGAATCAGCGTGCACGTTGGAATCCGTTTGAGCCCAGTTTCGATCAACTCACCTATGTTCCGCTAATCCTACTGGAATTGCTCTTGCACCAATGTAATCCTCAGGCCGTGACTATCTTCTGGACAAAGAATCAGCGTGTACGTAGGAATCCGTTTCAGACCAGCTTCGATCAATTCACCTATGTTCCGCTAATCCTACTGGAATTTCTCTTGCACCAATGTAATCCTCAGGCCGTGACTATCCTCTGGACAAAGAATCAGCGTGCACGTTGGAATCCGTTTGAGCCCAGTTTCGATCAATTCACCTATGTTCCGCTAATCCTACTGGAATTTCTCTTGCACCAATGTAATCCTCAGGCCGTGACTATCCTCTGGACAAACAATGGTCCCCCCCCCATAGGACGCCGTTTAAGCCCAGTTTCGATCAATTCACCTATGTTCCGCTAATCCTACTGGAATTTCTCTTGCACCAATGTAATCCTCAGGCCGTGACTATCCTCTGGACAAACAATGGTCCACATAGGACGACGTTTAAGACCTGTTTCGATCAATTCACCTATGTTCCGCTAATCCTACTGGAATTGCTCTTGCACCAATGTAATCCTCAGGCCGTGACTATCCTCTGGACAAAGAATCAGCGTGCACGTAGGAATCCGTTTCAGCCCAGTTTCGATCAATTCACCTATGTTCCGCTAATCCTTCTGGAATTTCTCTGGCACCAATGTAATCCTCAGGCCGTGACTATCCTCTGGACAAACAATGGTCCCCCCTCCCATAGGAAGCTGTTAAAGCCCAGTTTCGATCAATTCACCTATGTTCCGCTAATCCTACTGGAATTTATCTTGCACCAATGTAATCCTCAGGCCGTGACTATCCTCTGGACAAACAAGGGTCCCCCCCACATAGGACGCCGTTTCAGCCAATTTCGATCAATTCACCTATGTTCCGCTAATCTTCTGGAATTTCTCTTGCACCAATGTAATCATCAGGCCGTGACTATCCTCTGGACAAACAATGGTCCCTCCCCCATAGGACGCCGTTTAAGCCCAGCGTCGATCAATTCACCTATGTTCCGCTAATCCTACTGGAATTGCTCTTGCACCAATCTAATCCTCAGCCCGAGACCTTCCTCTGGACAAAGAATCAGCGTGCACGTAGGAATCCGTTTCAGCCGAGCTTCGATTAATTAACCTATGTTCCGCTAATCCTACTGGAAATTCTCTTGCACCAATGTTATCCTCAGGCCGTGACTATCCTCTGGACAAAGAATCAGCGTGCACGTAAGAATCCGTTTCAGCCCAGTTTCGATCAATTCACCTATGTTCCGCTAATCCTACTGGAATTTATCTTGCACCATTGTAATCATCAGGCCGTGACTATCCTCTGGACAAACAATGGTCCCCATAGGACGCCGTTTAAGCCCAGTTTCGATCAATTCACCTATGTTCCGCTAATCCTACTGGAATTGATCTTGCACCAATGTAATCCTCAGGCCGTGACTATCCTCTGGACAATCAATGGTCCTCACCTATAGGACGCCGTTTAAGCCCAATTTCGATCAATTCACCTATGTTCCGCTAATCCTCCTGGAATTTCTCTTGCATCAATGTAATCCTCAGGCCGTGACTATCTTCTGGACAAAGAATCAGCGTGCACGTAGGAATCCGTTTCACACCAGTTTCGATCAATTCACCTATGTTCCGCTAATCCTACTGGAATTTCTCTTGCACCAATGTAATCATCAGGCCGTGACTATCCTCTGGACAAACAATGGCCCCCCCCCCATAGGACGCCGTTTCAGCCCACTTTCGATCAATTCACCTATGTTCCGCTAATCCTACTGGAATTTCTCTTGCACCAATGTAATCCTCAGGCCGTGACTATCCTCTGGACAAAGAATCAGCGTGCACGTAGGAATCCGTTTCAGCCCAGCTCCGATCAATTCACCTATGTTCCGCTAATCCTACTGGAAATCCTCTTGCACCAATGTAATCCTCAGGCCGTGACTATCCTCTGGACAAAGAATCAGCGTGCACGTAGGAATCCGTTTCAGCCCAGCTCCGATCAATTCACCTATGTTCCGCTAATCCTACTGGAAATCCTCTTGCACCAATGTATTCCTCAGGCCGTGACTATCCTCTGGACAAAGAATCAGCGTGCACGTACGAATCCGTTTCAGACCCGTTTCGATCAATTCACCTATGTTCCGCTAATCCTACTGGAATTTCTCTTGCACCAATGTAATCCTCAGGCCGTGACTATCCTCTGGACAAACAATGGTCCACATAGGACGCCGTTTAAGCCCAGTTTCGATCAATTCACCTATGTTCCGCTAATCCTACTGGAATTTATCTTGCACCAATGTAATCCTCAGGCCGTGACTATCCTCTGGACAAACAATGGTCCCCATAGGACGCCGTTTCACCCCACTTTCGATCAATTCACCTATGTTCCGCTAATCCTACTGGAATTTCTCTTGCACCAATGTAATCCTCAGGCCGTGACTATCCTCTGGACAAAGAATCAGCGTGCACGTAGGAATCCGTTTCAGACCAGTTTCGATCAATTCACCTATGTTCCGCTAATCCTCCTGGAATTTCTCTTGCACCAATGTAATCCTCAGGCCAGGCTATCCGCTGGACAATCAATGGTCCTCACATCTAGGACGCCGTTTAACCCCAGTTTCGATCAATTCACCTATGTTCCGCTAATCCTACTGGAAATTCTCTTGCACCAATGTTATCCTCAGGCCGTGACTATCCTCTGGACAAAGAATCAGCGTGCACGTAGGAATCCGTTTCAGCCCAGTTTCGATCAATTCACCTATGTTCCGCTAATCCTACTGGAATTTCTCCTGCACCATTGTAATCCTCAATCCGTGACTATCCTCTGGACAAAGAATTAGCGTGCACGTAGGAATCCGTTTCAGCCCAGTTTCGATCAATTCACCTATGTTCCGCTAATCCTACTGGAATTTCTCTTGCACCAATGTAATCCTCAGGCCGTGACTATCCTCTGGACAAACAATGGTCCCTCCACATAGGACGCCGTTTAAGCCCAGTTTCGATCAATTCACCTATGTTCCGCTAATCCTACTGGAAATTTTCTTGCACCAATGTAATCCTCAGGCCGTGACTATCCTCTGGACAAACAATGGTCCCCATAGGACGCCGTTTAAGCCCAGTTTCGATCAATTCACCTATGTTCCGCTAATCATACTGGAAATTCTCTTGCACCAATGTAATCCTCAGGCCGTGACTATCCTCTGGACAAACAATGGTCCCCATAGGACGCCGTTTCAGCCCAGTTTCGATCAATTCACCTATGTTCCGCTGATTCTACTTGAATTTCTCTTGCACCAATGTTATCCTCAGGCCGTGACTATCCTCTGGACAAAGAATCAGCGTGCACGTAGGAATCCGTTTCAGACTAGTTTCGATCAATTCACCTATGTTCCGCTAATCCTCCTGGAATTTCTCTTGCACCAATGTAATCCTCAGTCCAGGCTATCCGCTGGAAAATCAATGGTCCTCACATCTAGGACGCCGTTTAACCCCAGTTTCGATCAATTCACCTATGTTCCGCTAATCCTACTGGAAATTCTCTTGCACCAATGTTATCCTCAGGCCGTGACTATCCTCTGGACAAAGAATCAGCGTGCACGTAGGAATCCGTTTCAGACCAGTTTCGATCAATTCACCTATGTTCCGCTAATCCTACTGGAATTTCTCCTGCACCAATGTAATCCTCAATCCGTGACTATCCTCTGGACAAAGAATTAGCGTGCACGTAGGAATCCGTTTCAGCCCAGTTTCGATCAATTCACCTATGTTCCGCTAATCCTACTGGAATTTCTCTTGCACCAATGTAATCCTCAGGCCGTGACTATCCTCTGGACAAACAATGGTCCCCATAGGACGCCGTTTCAGCCAGTTTCGATCAATTCACCTATGTTCCGCTAATCCTACTGGAATTTGTCTTGCACCAATGTAATCCTCAGGCCGTGACTATGCTCTGGACAAACAATGGTCCCCCCCATAGGACGCCGTTTGAGCCCAGTTTCGATCAATTCACCTATGTTCCGCTCATCCTACTGGAATTTATCTTGCACCAATGTAATCCTCAGGCCGTGACTATCCTCTGGACAAAGAATCAGCGTGCACGTAGGAATCCGTTTCAGACCAGTTTCGATCAATCCACCTACGTTCCGCTAATCCTACTGGAATTTCTCTTGCACCAATGTAATCCTCAGGCCGTGACTATCCTCTGGACAAACAATGGTCCCCATAGGACGCCGTTTCAGCCAGTTTCGATCAATTCACCTATGTTCCGCTAATCCTACTGGAATTTATCTTGCACCAATGTAATCCTCAGGCCGTGACTATCCTCTGGACAAACAATGGTCCCCCCCATAGGAGGCCGTTTGAGCCCAGTTTCGATCAATTCACCTATGTTCCGCTAATCCTACTGGAAATTGTCATGCACCAATGTAATCCTCAGGCCGTGACTATCCTCTGGACGAAGAATCAGCGTGCACGTAAGAATCCCTTTCAGACCAGTTTCGATCAAATCACCTATGTTCCGCTAATCCTCCTGCAATTTCTGTTGCACCAATGTAATCCTAAAGCCGTGACTATCCTCTGGACAAAGAATGGTCCCCATAGGAATCCGTTTCAGCCCAGTTTCGATCAATTCACCTATGTTCCGCTAATCCTACTGGAATTTCTCTTGCACCAATGTAATCATCAGGCCGTGACTATCCTCTGGACAAACAATGGTCCCTCCACATAGGACGCCGTTTAAGCCCAGTTTCGATCAATTCACCTATGTTCCGCTAATCCTACTGGAAATTTTCTTGCACCAATGCAATCCTCAGGCCGTGACTATCCTCTGGACAAAGAATCAGCGTGCACGTAGGAATCCGTTTCAGACCAGTTTCGATCAATTCACCTATGTTCCGCTAATCCTACTGGAATTGATCTTGCACCGATGTAATCGACAGGCCGTGACTATCCTCTGGACAAAGAATCAGCGTGCACGTAGGAATCCGTTTCAGCCCAGCTTTGATCAATTCACCTATGTTCCGCTAATCCTACTGGAATTTCTCTTGCACCAATGTAATCCTCAGGCCGTGACTATTCTCTGGACAAACAATGGTCCTCATAGGACGCCGTTTAAGCCCAATTTCGATCAATTCACCTATGTTCCGCTAATCCTACTGGAATTTATCTTGCACCAATGTAATCCTCAGGCCGTGACTATCCTCTGTACAAACAATGGTCCCCCCCCATAGGACGCCGTTTAAGCCCAGTTTCGATCAATTCACCTATGTTCCGCTAATCCTACTGGAATTTCTCTTGCACCAATGTAATCCTCAGGCCGTGACTATCCTCTGGATAAAGAATCAGCGTGCACGTAGGAATCCGTTTCAGAACAGTTTCGATCAATTCACCTATGTTCCGCTAATCCTACTGGAATTTCTCTTGCACCAATGTAATCCTCAGGCCGTGACTATCCTCTGTACAAAGAATCAGCGTGCACGTAGGAATCCGTTTCAGACCAGTTTCGATCAATTCACCTATGTTCCGCTAATCCTACTGGAATTTATCTTGCACCAATGTAATCCTCAGGCCGTGACTATCCTCTGGACAAACAATGGTCCCCCCCCCATAGGACGCCGTTTGAGCCCAGCTTCGATCAATTCACCTATGTTCCGCTAATCATACTGGAATTTATCTTGCACCAAAAAAATACTCAGGCCGTGACTATCCTCTGGACAAACAGTGGTCCACATAGGACCCCGTTGAGGAACATTTTCGATCAATTCACCTATGTTCCGCTAATCCTACTGGAACTTATCTTGCACCAATGTAATCCTCAGGCCGTGACTATCCTCTGGACAAAGAATCAGCGTGCACGTAGGAATCCGTTTCAGACCAGTTTCGATCAATTCACCTATGTTCCGGTAATCCCCCTGGGATTTCTCCTGCACCAATGTAATCCTCAGGCCGTGACTATCCTCTGGACAAACAATGGTCCACTTAGGACCCCGTTCAGGATATTTTCGACCAATTCACCTATGTTCCGCTATGCCTATTGGAATTTCTCTTGCACCAATGTAATCCTCAGGCCGTGACTATCCTCTGGACAAACAATGGTCCCTCCCCCATAAGACGACGTTTACGCCCAGTTTCGATCAATTCACCTATGTTCCGCTAATCCTCCTGGAATTTCTCTTGCATCAATGTAATCCTCAGGCCGTGACTATCCTCTGGACAAACAATGGTCCCCATAGGACGCCGTTTAAGCCCAGTTTCGATCAATTCACCTATGTTCCGCTAATCCTCCTGGAATTGCTCTAGCATCAATGTTATCCTCAGGCCGTGACTATCCTCTGGACAAAGAATCAGCGTGCACATAGGAATCCGTTTCAGCCCAGGTTCGATCAATTCACTTATGTTCCGCTAATCCTACTGGAATTTTTCTTGCACCAATGTAATCCTCAGGCCGTGACTATCCTCTGGACAAAGAATCAGCCTGCACGTAAGAATCCGTTTCAGACCAGTTTCGATCAATTCACCTATGTTCCGCTAATCCTACTGGAATTTCTCTTGCACCAATGTAATCCTCAGGCCGTGACTATCCTCTGGACAAACAATGGTCCCCATAAATATCCGTTTCAGCCCAGTTTCGATCAATTCACCTATGTTCCGCTAATCCTACTGGAATTTATCTTGCACCAGTGTAATCCTCAGGCCGTGACTATCCTCTGGACAAACAATGGTCCCTCCACATAGGACGCCGTTTAAGCCCAGTTTCGATCAATTCACCTATGTTCCGCTAATCCTCCTGCAATTTCTCTTGCACCAATGTTATCCTCAGGCCGTGACTATCCTCTGGACAAACAATGGTCCCCATAGGACGCCGTCAAGACCTGTTTCGATCAATTCACCTATGTTCCGCTAATCCTACTGGAATTTCTCTTGCACCAATGTAATCCTCAGGCCGTGACTATCCTCTGGACAAAGAATCAGCGGGCACGTAGGAATCCGTTTCAGACCAGTTCCGATCAATTCACCTATGTTCCGCTAATCCTACTGGAATTTCTCTTGCACCAATGTAATCGACAGGCCGTGACTATCCTCTGGACAAAGAATCAGCGTGCACGTAGGAATCCGTTTCAGCCCAGCTTCGATCAATTCACCTATGTTCCGCTAATCCTACTGGAATTTCTCTTGCACCAATGTAATCCTCAGGCCGTGACTATCCTCTGGACAAACAATGGTCCCCCCCCCATAGGACGCCGTTTCAGCCCACTTTCGATCAATTCACCTATGTTCCGCTAATCCTACTGGAATTTCTCTTGCACCAATGTAATCCTCAGGCCGTGACTATCCTCTGGACAAACAATGGTCCCTCCCCCATAGGACGCCGTTTAAGCCCACTTTCGATCAATTCACCTATGTTCCGCTGATCCTACTGGAAATTCTCTTGCACCAATGTAATCCTCAGGCCGTGGCTATCCTCTGGACAAAGAATCAGCGTGCACGTAGGAATCCGTTTCAGCCCAGCTCCGATCAATTCACCTATGTTCCGCTAATCCTACTGGAATTTCTCTTGCACCAATGTAATCCTCAGGCCGTGACTATCCTCTGGACAAAGAATCAGCCTGCACGTAAGAATCCGTTTCAGACCAGTTTCGATCAATTCACCTATGTTCCGCTAATCCTACTGGAATTTATCTTGCACCAATGTAATCCTCAGGCCGTGACTATCCTCTGGACAAACAATGGTCCCCATAGGAATCCGCTTAAGCCCAGTTTCGATCAATTCACCTATGTTCCGCTAATCCTACTGGAACTTATCTTGCACCAATGTAATCCTCAGGCCGTGACTATCCTCTGGACAAACAATGGTCCCCATAGGACGCCGATTAAGCCCAGTTTCGATCAATTCACCTATGTTCCGCTAATCCTACTGGAATTTCTCTTGCACCAATGTAATCCTTAGGCCGTGACTATCCTCTGGACAAACAATGGTCCCCATAGGACGCCGTTTAAGCCCAGTTTCGATCAATTCACCTATGTTCCGCTAATCCTACTGGAATTTCTCTTGCACCAATGTAATCCTCAGGCCGTGACTATCCTCTGGACAAAGAATCAGCGTGCACGTAGGAATCCGTTTCAGACCAGTTCCGATCAAGTCACCTATGTTCCGCCAATCCTCCTGGAATTTCTCTTGCACCAATGTAATCGACAGGCCGTGACTTTCCTCTGGACAAAGAATCAGCGTGCACGTAGGAATCCGTTTCAGCCCAGTTTCGATCAATTCACCTATGTTCCGCTAATCCTACTGGAATTTCTCTTGCACCAATGTAATCATCAGGCCGTGACTATCCTCTGGACAAACAATGGTCCCCATAGGACGCCATTGAAGCCTAGTTTCGATCAATTCACCTATGTTCCGCTAATCCTACTGGAATTTCTCTTGCACCAGTGTAATCCTCAGGCCGTGACTATCCTCTGGACAAACAATGGTCCCTCCCCCATAGGACGCCGTTTAAGCCCACTTTCGATCAATTCACCTATGTTCCGCTGATCCTACTGGAAATTCTCTTGCACCAATGTAATCCTCAGGCCGTGGCTATCCTCTGGACAAAGAATCAGCGTGCACGTAGGAATCCGTTCCAGCCCAGCTCCGATCAATTCACCTATGTTCCGCTAATCCTACTGGAATTTCTCTTGCACCAATGTAATCCTCAGGCCGTGACTATCCTCTGGACAAAGAATCAGCCTGCACGTAAGAATCCGTTTCAGACCAGTTTCGATCAATTCACCTATGTTCCGCTAATCCTACTGGAATTTATCTTGCACCAATGTAATCCTCAGGCCGTGACTATCCTCTGGACAAACAATGGTCCCCATAGGAATCCGCTTAAGCCCAGTTTCGATCAATTCACCTATGTTCCGCTAATCCTACTGGAACTTATCTTGCACCAATGTAATCCTCAGGCCGTGACTATCCTCTGGACAAACAATGGTCCCCATAGGACGCCGATTAAGCCCAGTTTCGATCAATTCACCTATGTTCCGCTAATCCTACTGGAATTTCTCTTGCACCAATGTAATCCTTAGGCCGTGACTATCCTCTGGACAAACAATGGTCCCCATAGGACGCCGTTTAAGCCCAGTTTCGATCAATTCACCTATGTTCCGCTAATCCTACTGGAATTGCTCTTGCACCAATGTAATCCTCAGGCCGTGACTATCCTCTGGACAAAGAATCAGCGTGCACGTAGGAATCCGTTTCAGACCAGTTCCGATCAAGTCACCTATGTTCCGCCAATCCTCCTGGAATTTCTCTTGCACCAATGTAATCGACAGGCCGTGACTTTCCTCTGGACAAAGAATCAGCGTGCACGTAGGAATCCGTTTCAGCCCAGTTTCGATCAATTCACCTATGTTCCGCTAATCCTACTGGAATTTCCTTTGCACCAATGTAATCCTCAGGCCGTGACTATCCTCTGGACAAACAATGGTCCCCATAGGACGCCATTGAAGCCTAGTTTCGATCAATTCACCTATGTTCCGCTAATCCTACTGGAATTTCTCTTGCACCAGTGTAATCATCAGGCCGTGACTATCCTCTGGACAAACAATGGTCCCTCCCCCATAGGACGCCTTTTCACACCAGTTTCGATCAATTCACCTATGTTCCGCTAATCCTACTGGAATTTCTCTTGCACCAATGTAATCCTTAGGCCGTGACTATCCTCTGGACAAACAATGGTCCCCATAGGACGCCGTCAAGACCTGTTTCGATCAATTCACCTATGTTCCGCTAATCCTACTGGAATTTCTCTTGCACCAATGTAATCCTCAGGCCGTGACTATCCTCTGGACAAAGAATCAGCGTGCACGTAGGAATCCGTTTCAGACCAGTTCCGATCAATTCACCTACGTTCCGCCAATCCTACTGGAATTTCTCTTGCACCAATGTGATCGACAGGCCGTGACTATCCTCTGGACAAAGAATCAGCGTGCACGTAGGAATCCGTTTCAGCCCAGTTTCGATCAATTCACCTATGTTCCGCTAATCCTACTGGAATTTCCTTTGCACCAATGTAATCCTCAGGCCGTGACTATCCTCTGGACAAACAATGGTCCCCATAGGAATCCGCTTAAGCCCAGTTTCGATCAATTCACCTATGTTCCGCTAATCCTACTGGAATTTCTCTTGCACCAATGTAATCATCAGGCCGTGACTATCCTCTGGACAAACAATGGTCCCCATAGGACGCCATTGAAGCCTAGTTTCGATCAATTCACCTATGTTCCGCTAATCCTACTGGAATTTCTCTTGCACCAGTGTAATCCTCAGGCCGTGACTATCCTCTGGACAAACAATGGTCCCTCCCCCATAGGACGCCGTTTAAGCCCACTTTCGATCAATTCACCTATGTTCCGCTGATCCTACTGGAAATTCTCTTGCACCAATGTAATCCTCAGGCCGTGGCTATCCTCTGGACAAAGAATCAGCGTGCACGTAGGAATCCGTTTCAGCCCAGCTCCGATCAATTCACCTATGTTCCGCTAATCCTACTGGAATTTCTCTTGCACCAATGTAATCCTCAGGCCGTGACTATCCTCTGGACAAAGAATCAGCCTGCACGTAAGAATCCGTTTCAGACCAGTTTCGATCAATTCACCTATGTTCCGCTAATCCTACTGGAATTTATCTTGCACCAATGTAATCCTCAGGCCGTGACTATCCTCTGGACAAACAATGGTCCCCATAGGAATCCGCTTAAGCCCAGTTTCGATCAATTCACCTATGTTCCGCTAATCCTACTGGAACTTATCTTGCACCAATGTAATCCTCAGGCCGTGACTATCCTCTGGACAAACAATGGTCCCCATAGGACGCCGATTAAGCCCAGTTTCGATCAATTCACCTATGTTCCGCTAATCCTACTGGAATTTCTCTTGCACCAATGTAATCCTCAGGCCGTGACTATCCTCTGGACAAACAATGGTCCCCATAGGACGCCGTTTAAGCCCAGTTTCGATCAATTCACCTATGTTCCGCTAATCCTACTGGAATTTCTCTTGCACCAATGTAATCCTCAGGCCGTGACTATCTTCTGGACAAAGAATCAGCGTGCACGTAGGAATCCGTTTCAGACCAGTTCCGATCAAGTCACCTATGTTCCGCCAATCATCCTGGAATTTCTCTTGCACCAATGTAATCGACAGGCCGTGACTTTCCTCTGGACAAAGAATCAGCGTGCACGTAGGAATCCGTTTCAGCCCAGTTTCGATCAATTCACCTATGTTCCGCTAATCCTACTGGAATTTCTCTTGCACCAATGTAATCATCAGGCCGTGACTATCCTCTGGACAAACAATGGTCCCCATAGGACGCCATTGAAGCCTAGTTTCGATCAATTCACCTATGTTCCGCTAATCCTACTGGAATTTCTCTTGCACCAGTGTAATCATCAGGCCGTGACTATCCTCTGGACAAACAACGGTCCCTCCCCCATAGGACGCCGTTTCACACCAGTTTCGATCAATTCACCTATGTTCCGCTAATCCTACTGGAATTTCTCTTGCACCAATGTAATCCTTAGGCCGTGACTATCCTCTGGACAAACAATGGTCCCCATAGGACGCCGTCAAGACCTGTTTCGATCAATTCACCTATGTTCCGCTAATCCTACTGGAATTTCTCTTGCACCAATGTAATCCTCAGGCCGTGACTATCCTCTGGACAAAGAATCAGCGTGCACGTAGGAATCCGTTTCAGACCAGTTCCGATCAATTCACCTACGTTCCGCCAATCCTACTGGAATTTCTCTTGCACCAATGTGATCGACAGGCCGTGACTATCCTCTGGACAAAGAATCAGCGTGCACGTAGGAATCCGTTTCAGCCCAGTTTCGATCAATTCACCTATGTTCCGCTAATCCTACTGGAATTTCCTTTGCACCAATGTAATCCTCAGGCCGTGACTATCCTCTGGACAAACAATGGTCCCCATAGGACGCCGTTTCAGCCAGTGTCGATCAATTCACCTATGTTCCGCTAATCCTACTGGAATTTCTCTTGCACCAATGTAATCATCAGGCCGTGACTATCCTCTGGACAAACAATGGTCCCTCCCACATAGGACGCCGTTTAAGCCCAGTTTCGATCAATTCACCTATGTTCCGCTAATCCTACTGGAATTTATCTTGCACCAATGTAATCCTCAGGCCGTGACTATCCTCTGGACAAAGAATCAGCGTGCACGTTGGAATCCGTTTCAGCCCAGTTTCGATCAATTCACCTATGTTCCGCTAATCATACTGGAATTTCTCTTGCACCAATGTAATCCTCAGGCCGTGACTATCCTCTGGACAAAGAATCAGCGTGCACGTTGGAATCCGTTTCAGACCAGTTTCGATCAATTCACCTATGTTCCGCTAATCCTCCTGGAATTTCTCTTGCATCAATGTTATCCTCAGGCCGTGACTATCCTCTGGACAAAGAATCAGCGTGCACGTAGGAATCCGTTTCAGACCAGTTTCGATCAATTCACCTATGTTCCGCTAATCCTACTGGAATTTCTCTTGCACCAATGTAATCCTCAGGCCGTGGCTATCCTCTGGACAAAAAATGGTCCCTCCCCCATAGGACGCCGTTTAAGCCCACTTTCGATCAATTCACCTATGTTCCGCTAATCCTACTGGAACTTATCTTGCACCAATGTAATCCTCAGGCCGTGACTATCCTCTGGACAAAGAATCGGCGTGCACGTTGGAATCCGTTTCAGACCAGTTTCGATCAATTCACCTATGTTCCGCTAATCCTACTGGAATTTCTCTTGCACCAATGTAATCCTCAGGCCGTGACTATCCTCTGGACAAACAATGGTCCCCCCCCCATAGGACGCCGTTTAAGCCCAGCTTCGATCAATTCACCTATGTTCCGCTAATCATACTGGAATTTCTCTTGCACCAATGTAATCCACAGGCTGTGACTATCCTCTGGACAAATAATGGTCCACATAGGACGCCGTTTAAGACCTGTTTCGATCAATTCACCTATGTTCCGCTAATCCTCCTGGAATTTCTCTTGCACCAATGTAATCCTCAGGCCGTGACTATCCTCTGGACAAACAGTGGTCCACATAGGACCCCGTTGAGGAACTTTTTCGATCAATTCACCTTTGTTCCGCTAATCATACTGGAATTTCTCTTGCACCAATGTAATCCTCAGGCCGTGACTATCCTCTGGACAAACAATGGTCCCCATAGGACGCCGTTTAAGCCCAGTTTCGATCAATTCACCTATGTTCCGCTAATCCTACTGGAATTTCTCTTGCACCAATGTAATCCTCAGACCGTGAATATCCTCTGGACAAAGAATCAGCGTGCACGTAGGAATCCGTTTCAGACCAGTTCCGATCAATTCACCTATGTTCCGCCAATCCTACTGGAATTTCTCTTGCACCAATGTAATCGACAGGCCGTGACTATCCTCTGGACAAAGAATCAGCGTGCACGTAGGAATCCGTTTCAGCCCAGTTTCGATCAATTCACCTATGTTCCGCTAATCCTACTGGAATTTCTTTTGCACCAATGTAATCCTCAGGCCGTGACTATCCTCTGGACAAACAATGGTCCCTCCCCCATAGGACGCCGTTTAAGCCCACTTTCGATCAATTCACCTATGTTCCGCTAATCCTACTGGAATTTATCTTGCACCAATGTAATCCTCAGGCCGTGACTATCCTCTGGACAAGAAATCAGCGTGCACGTAGGAATCCGTTTCAGACCAGTTTCGATCAATTCACCTATGTTCCGCTAATCCTACTGGAATTTCTCTTGCACCAGTGTAATCATCAGGCCGTGACTATCCTCTGGACAAACAATGGTCCCTCCCCCATAGGACGCCGTTTAAGCCCACTTTCGATCAATTCACCTATGTTCCGCTAATCCTACTGGAATTTATCTTGCACCAATGTAATCCTCAGGCCGTGACTATCCTCTGGACAAGAAATCAGCGTGCACGTAGGAATCCGTTTCAGACCAGTTTCGATCAATTCACCTATGTTCCGCTAATCATACTGGAATTTCTCTTGCACCAATGTAATCCTCAGGCCGTGACTATCCTCTGGACAAAGAATCAGCGTGCACGTAGGAATCCGTTTCAGCCCAGTTTCGATCAATTCACCTATGTTCCGCTATTCCTACTGGAATTTCTCTTGCACCAATGTAATCCTCAGGCCGTGAATATCCTCTGGACAAACAATGGTCCCCCCCCCCATAGGACGCCGTTTAAGCCCAGCTTCGATCAATTCACCTATGTTCCGCTAATCATACTGGAATTTCTCTTGCACAAATGTAATCCTCAGGCCGTGACTATCCTCTGGACAAACAATGGTCCCCCCCCCATAGGACGCCGTTTCAGCCCAGTTTCGATCAATTCACCTATGTTCCGCTAATCCTCCTGGAATTTCTCTTGCACCAATGTAATCATCAGGAGGTGACTATCCTCTGGACAAACAATGGTCCCCATAGGACGCCGTTTCAGCCAGTTTCGATCAATTCACCTATGTTCCGCTAATCCTACTGGAATTTCTCTTGCACCAGTGTAATCCTCAGGCCGTGACTATCCTCTGGACAAACAATGGTCCCCATAGCACGCCGTTTCAGCCAGTTTCGATCAATTCACCTATGTTCCGCTAATCCTACTGGAATTTCTCTTGCACCAATGTAATCATCAGGCCGTGACTATCCTCTGGACAAACAATGGTCCCCATAGGACGCCGTCAAGACCTGTTTCGATCAATTCACCTATGTTCCGCTAATCCTACTGGAATTTATCTTGCACCAATGTAATCCTCAGGCCGTGACTATCCTCTGGACAAAGAATCAGCGTGCACGTAGGAATCCGTTTCAGACCAGTTCCGATCAATTCACCTACGTTCCGCCAATCCTACTGGAATTTCTCTTGCACCAATGTGATCGACAGGCCGTGACTATCCTCTGGACAAAGAATCAGCGTGCACGTAGGAATCCGTTTCAGCCCAGTTTCGATCAATTCACCTACGTTCCGCTAATCCTACTGGAATTTCTTTTGCACCAATGTAATCCTCAGGCCGTGACTATCCTCTGGACAAACAATGGTCCCCATAAGACGCCGTCAAGACCTGTTTCGATCAATTCACCTATGTTCCGCTAATCCTACTGGAATTTCTCTTGCACCAATGTAATCATCAGGCCGTGACTATCCTCTGGACAAACAATGGTCCCTCCCACATAGGACGCCGTTTAAGCCCAGTTTCGATCAATTCACCTATGTTCCGCTAATCCTACTGGAATTTATCTTGCACCAATGTAATCCTCAGGCCGTGACTATCCTCTGGACAAAGAATCAGCGTGCACGTAGGAATCCGTTTCAGCCCAGTTTCGATCAATTCACCTATGTTCCGCTAATCATACTGGAATTTCTCTTGCACCAATGTAATCCTCAGGCCGTGACTATCCTCTGGACAAAGAATCAGCGTGCACGTAGGAATCCGTTTCAGCCCAGTTTCGATCAATTCACCTATGTTCCGCTAATCCTACTGGAATTTCTCTTGCACCAATGTAATCCTCAGGCCGTGACTATCCTCTGGACAAACAATGGTCCCCCCCCTCATAGGACGCCGTTTAAGCCTAGTTTCGATCAATTCACCTATGTTCCGCTAATCATACTGGAATTTATCTTGCACCAATGTAATCCTCAGGCTGTGACTATCCTCTGGACAAATAATGGTCCACATAGGACGCCGTTTAGGACCTGTTTCGATCAATTCACCTATGTTCCGCTAATCCTACTGGAATTTCTCTTGCACCAATGTAATCATCAGGCCGTGACTATCCTCTGGACAAACAATGGTCCCCATAGGACGCCATTGAAGCCTAGTTTCGATCAATTCACCTATGTTCCGCTAATCCTACTGGAATTTCTCTTGCACCAGTGTAATCATCAGGCCGTGACTATCCTCTGGACAAACAATGGTCCCTCCCCCATAGGACGCCGTTTCACACCAGTTTCGATCAATTCACCTATGTTCCGCTAATCCTACTGGAATTTCTCTTGCACCAATGTAATCCTTAGGCCGTGACTATCCTCTGGACAAACAATGGTCCCCATAGGACGCCGTCAAGACCTGTTTCGATCAATTCACCTATGTTCCGCTAATCCTACTGGAATTTCTCTTGCACCAATGTAATCCTCAGGCCGTGACTATCCTCTGGACAAAGAATCAGCGTGCACGTAGGAATCCGTTTCAGACCAGTTCCGATCAATTCACCTACGTTCCGCCAATCCTACTGGAATTTCTCTTGCACCAATGTGATCGACAGGCCGTGACTATCCTCTGGACAAAGAATCAGCGTGCACGTAGGAATCCGTTTCAGCCCAGTTTCGATCAATTCACCTATGTTCCGCTAATCCTACTGGAATTTCCTTTGCACCAATGTAATCCTCAGGCCGTGACTATCCTCTGGACAAACAATGGTCCCCATAGGACGCCGTTTCAGCCAGTGTCGATCAATTCA